CATATACACACACAAGTCACCCACTCACTCACACTCGCTCTCTATGGCTTCCACATGATGCATTTCGAAGGAGCCCTAGCTCTGATGCTTTGACCGCCATTGTCTATTTGGTTATCGGAGGGAGCTTCTCGAATGCAGAGTAAGCTCACACATCTTTCCCTTTCTTGCACGCAATCGCATTATTCGTCGTAACATTCACACAGGTTAAAATTTCAGCTTCAAAACGCATTTTAGAAATTCACGTTTGGAGGATTGATTTTCTGATTGCATTGTGTTCTTTTTGATTTGAGATGAACTGGATGTACAGATCTGCGATTTTGCCTTGAGGATTTTATTATTTATAATTTTCAAAAGTTTCTACCTAACGTCGTTGACCGCTTATTGCACTTGAACTCGAATTCTTTCGAGTTTTTGAAAATTGAAGCTAAATTTTCTAGAGGGAATGAAATGTATGTTGGCTGAATGGAAAATTTGTTTTTTTGGGGGCCAACCAATTGATGCTTCCGGTGTTCCATATGCAGATGTACTTGTATAGCTGTACATTAAATCTGGATGTAGTTCTGACAATTCTTTGACAGTTTGTTTTTATTTTGATTTTGTTGTTTTGTTTTTTTTTTTATTGTTTTTAAATGATTTTATAGAGCAGTGAATTATTATTTATGTTACAAGTAAGTTTTTGAAGCATGATGCCTTAGATTTGTTGCTTTGTTCTGAATGATTTGGGAAAGTTTGATGCTGATACTGATGAAAGAGTATGATTATGATTTTTGTATTTAATATGCTTGTAAAACGATTGTTAATTTTAATTTGTTTTGGGAAAATCTTATTGAACATTAAAGCTTACTTGCTTTAGGATCTTGAGATTTACAAGATAAGTTGATGTAAATGCCTCCGAGGTTGCTCTTGACCACCAGAAACCTCAAAAAATGTATTGGTTTGCCTTCATTGAGCTGAATTGAGCTTTGTTAGACAAGAAAAAGATGCACAAATTTATTTTTGGTTCAGCCAAAGGGGGTATACAGAGAGTGGAATGCGCATCACACTTGTTGAAGCGAATTGAACCTGGGCTACTTATAGATTTGTTGTTTATTTACATTCTTATGCATAAACAAGGTCAAGGACAAAATATCGATGTTTCTTTACTTCAATTTTGCAATCAAACAAGGAAAAAGAGTTATATGAGGAGAGGGTTTGTTAGGGTTCTATGATGATTATTTGTTTGAAACTTCCTTGGTTTATGTGGCTCTGTTTGTACTCTCGGGTCTGTTGATTTTCGTCAAAAAAGCTGGATGCGAAGTTGCTAACAAACAAAAGTATCTAATTTACATATAAAAGCTGATTCTGTCTTCATCTTTGTGTGAATTATCATTTCTAGGTATGTTGGCAACACCAATAATTCAGATTGTCCTTAAGAAGTTGATAAGTAAACAATTAGATTAAAAACGAAGTCCTTTTCATTTATTATTTTTGGATCGTCTTACTTCTTAAGTCATTCAGTCCATCTTTTACTCATTTTGCTTTTACAACCATTATGTTTATGCTAATGATGGGAATTGTGTTGATCTGCATCTGGGATTATGTAGGGACATAAGACTAATGACCAGCCTATGCAATGCTTATCACATTTGATATTTATGTCATAGGTTTGATAGAAGACAATGCTATTTTATGGTCATTGCCATTCTGGCACATGAGACAGTGTGCCAAGTTTCAGTTCCCACCCTGGATTCAATCACAGAAATAATAGAACTACATAATGCTGATGCACTGTTCTTGATGACGGTAGGAGTAGCATAAACTTTGGTGACTCAAAGACATATTAAAGAATTGTTTGATCTGAGGTTTCGTTTTTGCCATACCATAAAACAGCACTGTTATGGGTTAAAGACAGATGGTTCTCTGTCAATAGGTATTTTTTTTGTTCAATTACGATAAGAGATCTGTAAATTATACAACAAATGAAAGAGATACTTGAATAAAAGAGGAGATTTTTATTGAAGTCAAATTGATTGAGATGTTCTAGAATTGAATCTAATAAGTATTTATGGTGTTTGATGTGATTTGCCTTTCACCAAAATTACATCTTTTCAGTTTTAGTTTCTTCTCTTCAACAAGCGACTTACAAAGCAGGAAGTATGGGAGTGGGTATGTGGGTTTAAGTAAACAGTTGGCTGAATACCTGCACCGGGCGTCCAAATTCACTGGCTTTTGATTGTCAAATAAACTAGTTGTCAAGGCTTGTTTGATTGTCAACCCTTGTGGAGTGGTATTCCATGTTTAGTGTAAGGGCAAGCTGAGGCTTTTGTTTGGGCACCATTTAAGTCGTGAAAGTCATGTGTTACTAGAATTATTTCCTTTGATATCATCAGACACACAAATTATGTCAATATACGGTGTTTGAGCTAAAGGCTTTCTTAATATTGCTGCTTCACTTTTATTGTAAGGTGACAATTTTGTCTTCACATCACAATCTGACCAAACTTGACTGCAAAACAAGCATATTGGAAGTTGCTAACTTGAATCTAGATGTTTTAGCTGCAGAATTCATGGAAAGCAAGTCAAACTAACACCATGCACCACTCTATGGCAAGACAAGCAGACATGAATAAAGAAAATGTACCTGTTGCTAATATTCAAGAGCCCACTGCAAGGATTACTAGAGCACGGGCTAAAGCCTTGGGAATATCTGGAAGGTTACCCCCACTACACCCTCTGGTGAAACAGGAATCCAATCAGGCTCTGCAGTCAAACTCTAAAAGAGGGTCATCAGATAACAAGCCCACCACTGATGTTGGCAATGGCATTCAGTCGAAGAGAAGGGCTGTTCTCAAGGATGTCACTAACATGCCCTTTGATGATTTAAATATGAAGGTCATCAATGAAATAAAAATTCAGGTACAAACATGTCTCAGTTTTCAACTATAACAAATTACTGCAACAAATTATTTGTGTAGATTTATAGCTTTAATGATGACAAGTGGTTGCAGTGAAATAGAAAAAGTTGTATCACTGAAATTTCTTACTACTTGTTGATGTTGTTGGTTGTCAGACTAGCAAGCAACTGAGAAGCACTGCCAAGAAAAATGACATGGTGGAACCAGCTGTTTGTATGGGTCTGCAGGATCAAATGGGAAAGGCAAAAGCAACAGAAGATATGACCAAACAGAGCATAAGGGAATTACGAGAAATAACTTCACAGTTGAAGTTAGTAAATGATTTAGAAAGCGAACCAAGTATATATAGAAACCCCAAAGCAGGTTGTATGCCAGTGTTGGTGCCTGGAAAGTCAACTTCCAATAACCAGTCTGGACTTGAAAGCTGTTTGCCAAAAGGTAAAAACGATCTGTGTTAAGATGTAACAAAGTTGCATGATGTGCTTCTGTATCTATAATATCCAAATGGTACCCATTGACTCATTAAGGCCTCATCGTATGAGTGACTTTTTTGAATTGTCAGGTTTACCCTTTGGCCTATCCAACAAGAAAATATATCTAGTAGGTTCACATAAAAGCTAGTGCTAATTAACTATCAACCGACTAGTGCAGATACTGAGGATTAATGCACATATCCATGTAACTTTAACTTTTTATTTTATCATGTAAAGGATCTTGTTACTTCTGTAGTCAGCTTACAAGTCTAATATCTTAAGATGGTCTTCATCCTCTGTCATGTAAACTACTTCAGACTACATGCATCTACTAATCATCTGTGACTGCTCATTTCTTTGTGAGACTCTTGTTACATGCTCTGTTTACAAGTTCAATTGTTGCATTATGCAGGAGAAATCAAGCTTTCCAACAAAGTGGAGGCCTCAGATGATCAAGCTATTCTTGACATTGATTGTAAGCATAAAGATCCTAAGATGTGCAGTTTATATGCTGCTGAAGTATATAACAATTTACGTGTGACAGAGGTATGTTTGGCTGTTGACCTCCCTTTATTGGTTATTACCACATATTCTACAACTTCTATGCACATGGTAATCAGTCAAATATCTTCATCGCATGCAACTATGCAAGGTTTATTCTAAAAGTACATAATCTCATTTTCCTTTTACCATGTGTATTATTAGTTTTCTCTTATCTAACCAAAGTGAGGATGTTCTTGTATTACATATGTTTCGTAATTCATATCATATAACTAAATGTTCATTAACATCCACATGTTATTTTACTTATGAATATTGAAGGATCTCTATCTTAATGGCAAAAAAGTTATAACCTTTTCTATGTTTGCTCATTCTAAAGTACGTCTTTCTCTTCAGCTGAAGTGGAGGCCTTCGGCTGATTATATGAAAACAGTGCAGCGGGACATCACACAGGAAATGCGCGGTATTCTTATTGATTGGCTTGTGGAGGTTAGCTCTTGAGAGTTAATATAGATTCAGAAATTTCATTTTTCTACAAAAAGTAAATGACAACCATTATGTTTCATATTTCAAAGCTGTCATTGCTTCGCATTGCATGTCATCTCATCTTAAATTTCAGTTTGGATTGGCTTCGAATTTTACCTAGTTCAAGGACAGTTATTGAATGACTAGTTGCACAAGAGTTCGTGCTTGATTTGCTGTATGCGTATTTAGCTTAAAATGTTGGATTCTCTTTGATATCTGTTCATGAAGTGAACTCTCTACTTTCTTGTTTTACTGCAGATAATCTGATGCTCTCCAATGACTTATCAATTATAGAACTTTCTTTTTCCTGATGTTTAGGTTTCTGAAGAATATAGGCTAGCATCCGAAACACTTTACCTAACAGTCGCTCTTATTGATCGGTATCTCTCTAAAATGTACATTGAAAAACAAAGACTTCAATTGCTCGGGATAACCTGCATGCTCATTGCCTCGTAAGTTTTCTTCTTTTCATAATTTAAATTGGCCTAAATCATCATTTACAATTTCACAGGTTCGTGAAATTATGACCTACATCCAATTTTTTTCAAGATTAAAGTGGGCATCTTTCTAGTCCAGACTGATGTTCAAATCTTTAGATTCCTTTCTTGATAAAGGCAGAATAAAGATTTCATTAAAATGGGAATGTACATAAACTGGTACATCAAATCTTTGGATTCTTAATTCTCCTTTTGATAGAGCCGGATTTTTGTTAAGAAAAACATCTCAATTTTACAAACAGATTTCCAATGTCGCTTGAAGTACAATGCATGATTTTGGTGATTTTTTTAGTTAAGTTATTTTCACTGAAAATGGCTTCTACATTGATATTTTATTTCTGTCGACTTAAAAGTTAAAAGATTTCTGAAATCATCAAAATATGTTTCGTGTGTTCCAATAACATTGTCCCACTCTATATATTTCCTCCACTTTCACTTGCATCCATCTTATTATACAGCTGATATTTTTTGGAAAAAGGAGGCGGAACCCCTAGGAAAGCTTCATTCATTATACAGTTGATTTGAGTATTCTTTAATCTTACAAGAATCTAATGGTATATCTATCTAATTATTTAAGGAAGTACGAAGAAATTAGTGCTCCACGTGTTGAGGACTTCTGTTTCATCACAGACGGCACCTACACTAGACAAGAGGTACATTCACTTACTGCTACTACTACAGATTTACTTTAATACTTCTAGCATATGGCAATATAAGCTTAGGTAGGTCTTGTAAATGAGGCAAGAGATTGTCACAATTGGCAACACTATTCCCAGTTTTTATCTAACACTGTTTCCCTTTTTTTGTCTTTTTGTATTCTCATGACATGCCGGCCAGAATAACATCCAATTTTGCATAACTAATCGAACCAACCGATCCCAGCATATCCCACCTGAAGGTGGGGACAGGGTGTATGCACACATATCCTCTTTCCTAAAGAGTAGAACGACTCTGTCCATAAAGACCGCGAATTTTGCACAACTGTTTCTTGTAATCCACTTAGCTGCCTGCCAAAATCTCAATAATAAGGTTCATGTAAATGGTCTTGAATAATAAGTTTCTGGTGTTTCACGGCCTTAGTTTTCTCAAACTATGGATATACAACCTTTTTTGCTTCCATTAGTCCCTTCCTCAACTCAAAATTCAAATATTTATTGTAGCAAATGATCCCATCTCGCTTGCATTTCATCTTGTTAAACTTTCCTGCCACATTCTGCATTCTGAAAACCAATTTGTGCAAGTCTAAAGGCTAACGACTACCTTTTACTTATCAGGTACTGGACATGGAGCGTCAAGTTCTGGACATATTGAGCTTTCATCTTTCTGTTCCAACTGTAAAAAAGTTCCTTCGGTAAAAAAACTCCACTTTCACTCTATGTTAGAAACATGCATCCAACTCTCAACCTTCTAACACGCAATGATCTACGGTTTATTTTCAGGAGATTCATTTTAGCAGCACAAAGTTCTTATAAGGTACATTAATACAAAGTTTGTTCATCGCCTTTTTGATCTAAATCTTCTATCGGACTTAAGTATATAGGGCCAAAAAAATGTGGGCGTCCTAACAAGTAATTTAAGAAAATTCTGAAATAAAACATCCTGTTAGTTTTTTAATGTATTTTTTTTATTAACCTGGACATCCAACCCGCTACGAGCGGATTAATCCCGGCACAACCACCTGCTTTGCGGTTTATTCTTCATTGGATTTGAACCTGACACCAAACATTTTTAGCCTAAGCTCAAACCAATTAGGCACCATCTTTAGGTTTAGTTTTTTAACACAATGTCCTATGCAAAAGTAATATAATAAGTTGATAGGACACTTTTGGGTGTTGTAACAATTTTTTTAAAAAGAAATTCTGAAATATTAATTTTTTACATGACATTATTTAAAAAAGTATCTTATCAAAACAACAAGTGTCTGTTAAAGCCCATTTTGTTGTCATGGGCCCATCTTATTACGGCCAGGAATAGTAGAAATAATCTAAAAGTGTGAAAAACCGACTTTATATGCAGGTCCCTGTCATAGAACTGGAATTCTTGGCTAACTATCTAGCAGAATTAACTCTCACCGAGTACGGTTTTTTGAAGTTTCTGCCGTCCCTCATTGCTGCCTCAGCCGTGTTCTTAGCCAAATGGACCCTTGATCAGATTGAACATCCATGGGTCCGTTTTCTTTTGTTTTTGTATTCGATTTTATTCAGCAGAAAAAACGGTTGTTTCCTTTTTTAACTTTCAAAAGTCTTTACATGAAACCTTTGTTGCAGAATCCTACTTTAGAACATTATACTAACTATAAGGCATCGGACCTAAAAGCAACAGTTCTGGCTCTGCAAGATCTGCAACTTAACGATGCTGCCCCTCTTCGTGCAATTCGTCAAAAGTACAGGCAAAAACAGGTAAGATTGCAACATTTTCTTTTTATGGAAGTTCTCATTTTATCATCTTCACAAATGCATCGATTGCATTGACATATGTACGGGGGTTGATGAGTTGAGTTGAGTCGAGTAGCAGATTGTTTGGCCTCAGCTCTGAGTTCATAGTTTTTTAAAAAATACTACTCGAACTCGGACTTCAATATCTCTTAAATGTTTGAGATCGAGCTTGAGCTTATGCTCATTTAACAATTTGAGTTACATAATACATGTTATCCCCTCGGTCCCAAAATAAGTGTCCACTTTCAAAAGTAATACCCGTTATGAGATGGATTTTTTTTACCATTGGGGTAAAATTGTCATTTAATTAATAAAAAGATGTAATACTTGCACATTTTTAAAACTGTGTTTTTTATTGTGGACATTTATTTTAAGCTTTTAAGCTTGTTTATGAGCTTGAACCTTAACTCGAGATTCATCAACTCATTGATTCGAGATTGATACATAGTACTTTTATGAACATGTGCGGCTCGAAAAAATGTACGCTCGTTTAATTCGACTAGAAGATTTTAATTGAGCTTTCGTACGAGTTGAGTCGAACACTGGTGTTAGAGAGCTCGACTTATTAAGTTACATAAGCTTTATTTTATGTTCAAGGTCAACTCGAGCTCGAGAATCATTAAGCTCAAACTGTAACTCTTTAAATGCCTGAATCATCAACACCCCTAGATATTCGTCTTACACTAATTTTGTTGCTATTATATATACAATCTTTACACTATACGTCAGATCAAATGTTGTAATTTTGATTGCATTATGGTTAGATGAAAGTAGTCGTTTTTGTAATGGCAGTTCAAAAGCGTTGCGACCTTAACCTCCCGAAAACCAGTGGAACCGTTGCACTAACGTTTGACTTCACTTCAGTAGCTGATGTTTCTTCATAAGACGAGACGATTTAGATAACTCTTTTTAAGTTACAATTATCCAATCCATGGTGCAACATATCTCATGTTGTAAGTTGTAAGTTGTGTAACCTTTATTTTCCCCATGAATTATAATACCTTTGTATCTATCTAAACCAATTGATTATTCATGTTATATAATTCTATTTCTTCACATCTTTTCGTCGTTCATTTCATTTCATTTCTTATTTATCGACACGTTCTTTGATGTTCACAAGTTATTTTAATGTCGGTTTTTATTTTATTTTCTTTTGGTGTTATAGAAATGATATTTTAAACAAACGTATAACTCAATTAGAGATGCATGAAAGACCCGATCATTTGACTTGAAAAAGGACACCATTTTCATGGACTTGTGATAAACCTGATCGAAGTGTTTGGCTTAATTCAGTTAAACACTTCAAACATATTGATTTAGGGGTTTTTTGTTTACCTCTTAATAGTTCTATTAAGAGGCAATCTCTGAATTGTTAAGAGGTGAATCTTGTTTCGCAAAAAAAAATATGTCTCTTAATAGTTATGAACCCTTTTGAATGATTTTGTATCTTAGGTCTCCCTTAACCATTAAGAGCCCTAATTTCATTGTAAACAATTAACAAACAATTATATTTCATTTTGCACTATATCATGAGAGCCTCTTAATCATTCTGATCACTTAATAATTCTGTACAAAATCATTCAGTAACTGCTAAATATCCCCTAAAAGATTATATATTAAGAATCGAATATGAGGTTTGTTCATGATGGATTTGAGTTCGTACAACTCGATTTGTTAAGGCCCAAACATTCATGCTTGCTTTTGCATTAACAAGAGTGGATCTTTAAAAACAACACAAAATCTTTATCTTTATATTATATATATAAAAGAAGAAACTTGAGGTATTGAGGTGACACCATGAGAATTGAGTATTTTCAAATGATGAATTGTGGTTGAGTTTTAGTTGTCCCAATTTGGTGAAGAGTTCAAAGATTTTGTATAAGAAAAGTGGATTGAATGTTTTTGTGTCAAAATCATGGGGTATGCATCATAGAGTTGTCTTATTTTGGATGATCCTTTTTGAAATTTATAACCATAGTTGGAATCAAAACCAACCAAATGATAAAAATTATAGTGCAAATATGAATTTGAAACCAAGGATGACAAATATAGTTTAAGTATATATTATATAACTTATATATACATAAAATTAAAGTGTTGACCTAATGACGTGCTTTTATCTGATGTTAGTATTCTCCAAATCGTGATTTATGGTGTTGGAGGGCGTTATAAATATAAATACAATCCAGAGTTTTCAGACACATCGCACTTCCGCTCGAGTCGAGGCTTTTACGTTTTTTTTTCCTTAAATTGAGTTCTGATCACCATGCAACGCACGACGTCGAACACCAATACTAGTTTGGAATAATAAGACTAGTTAAGCTTGCCAAGCCTACATTGGTCCTTTGAATGACCGAACTTTCAACCAAATTCCCAATGAACCCAATATCCACTATTTGTGCAGCTTGAATGCTTGTGATTAGTGCCGAGAAGGGCTTGAACGATCCTTGAGGGTTTTGTTGTACGACGCACAACTAGTTCAGCTCAGAGCTTAAGCAACAAATTGAACAAGCGACAAAATGAAATCCAAAATAAACCCTTAAAGCCTCATGTCAGCAAACCGTGACGACGACTTCACTTTTCTTTAACCATCGAGCATTGGTAGAACATTGTAATCGACACAGGTGAAGTGAGCAGTAGATCCATGATCAAAAAGATGACCTAAATCCTAAATTTTTTTCCTTTATCTACTCAATAAACCTCATTGCACATGATAGGACAGTAACAATGACGGAAGATCGTAACAACTACAACGACAAGCAAACGGAAACAAAAGTAGATCCATAAGGAATCAAAACATGAAAAGTATCCTCGAGACATGGAATGCAAAAACGATAGACACGTAATCAACCAATGAAATCAGTAAATTTCAGTATTTTTTCCGCTTTGTGAATTTTCATCGGTTAAAAAATTGAAATTGGTAACTTTGATGATGGTTGAATTCTTCATTTCATCATTATTTAAAAATTATTTACCAGACGCTTATCCAGGTAAGCGCTTATCAAGTCACGTTACCGCATTGGATGAACATGGTAAGGACCAAGAATCTTACCCGGTATGAGCGAGACAAGGACCAAGAGTCTTACCCGGTAAGTGAGGGCGACGACTCTTACCAGTTACCACGGTAAGCGCTTACCGGGTAAATTGTTGCATACGATATCGTTTTGGTGGACTAAGATCTTACCCGGTAAGTAAATAATAGTGTTAGATTTTACCGGTAAGCACTTACCGCGTAAGTTGATTTTAAATTTTTATTTATTAAATTATATGTGAAATCATAACATTTGAAACTTTTATTTCACAAAAAAAGTGGACAATACCACAGTACCCAAAGATGGACTGTCACAATGGAGGGTCAAAGCTGATGTTGTATGGATATCTGTAGATACAAACAATCAGTATATTTATCGATCTCCCCAAGAAAATATTATTAACAACAAGATTGATCAGACTCTTGTGAATCGATCGATCCATCGACTGGAATTTCCTCCGATGTTGTGTTAATTTAATCGATTACTCACTGGTTAGTGCTACTACTTCTACACTGATGCTAATCACTATGTTTTTATTTCGAGAAATCAGTTGAAAATTCGCAAGGATTTTAGTTGTTGTTTAACAGGGGATTTTGAGTGTGGGTTTTGATGCGAACCGACTGGTTTATTGATTTGATTGTTGGGTATTCAGGTATGATTAGCTTTTCGTAAGTTTATTCAAGTGCCKTGTTGAGTTTTATTGCTTTGTTATTATCGATAGGTTGTGAATGGTGAAATTGATGATGCTTGTTCTGGTGTATTGATTGAGAAGTCATAAGTTATGCGATTCTTGCCCAATTTTAGTCAATTTTACTGCACATTTTGGGAGATATTTGATTTTTTTACGAATTGTGAAGCCCTGAATCTATCTATTTGGTTTCTGCTTGTTAGACTACTTGGTACTGAACAAGAGAATTGATTCATTTAAGAATAATCTTGATTATATTGTAGTATTTGAGTAAACCGCCAAGCTTGCTTCTTATGTGTAAGGTGATCATAGTACCGGAAACTTGAATGGATGTGGATTGTTTTTTTTTTGTTCAACAAGATGTCAAGAATAGTACATTTGATTTTTTTGTGTGTGTTAGTTTTCTGAGAGAAGGTTGGGATATGAATATGTTCTAAGAATACTGAAAGGTTGATGTAATTTGATGTTTCAAGAACAATATGGAATGATAGTCATAATCTGATTAATTACTTATCCTTGAAAGAAGTTGCACAATGTCATCTTTTATTAGAAAGAAACAGAATATTCTTCTTATATGGTTGACCTTTATGGAAAAACGCAATTTAAAGCTGCGGGTAGGACCGTAGGATGTGTTTGTGTTTTCAAGGAGATAGAATCAATGGATGGTGTTTCTTTCTTCTATTAGAAATGAGATGGTGCTTTCAAGCTGTAAACAAAGAGAAAAATATTGTGACGAATACATTATGCATCTTTGCAGGTTGATGCAACTTTGACTTTGATCATTTTGAGTGGGTAACCAAAAAAGTCACAGGTGAACAATTCTTGTGGATGTAATCGTGTAGTTGGTTTTTGAGGCTTGTTTTGATATTGGCATCCCATGTTTTCTCCACTTCATCATTTGCTGGAGCGTCTAGATGGGTGTTTCTGCTTTGGGGCTACAGCGTAAAAACCAAACAAGCAAGGTGCCACTACTAATGGAGAGAACAGAAAGCCATACTGAATCTGAGCATGTGATTGATATAAGCAATAGTAATGAAGCTTCCTCATCTAGCTCAACCCTTGCTAGACCAGTCAGTGGGTCAAATGTACGACAGAACGAAGATCTGCTTTCAACTAACGTGCAAGCTCCCGTCTTTCAGCATTCTTTTTCTACTACCAATGGAACAAATTCAAGGAATACATCATTTGCTAGGAGAGGGAATGGCCATGGCCGACGTAGGAGCCCATTGAATTCTGGTTATTGGATATCTGTTGAACTGGTTATTACCGTGAGCCAAATTATAGCAGCCATTGTTGTTTTGTCTTTGTCAAGGCACGAGCATCCTCATGCTCCATTGTTCACATGGGTTATCGGTTATGCTTCAGGATGTGTTGTAACACTCCCTCTTCTCTTTTGGCGTTTCCATAATCGCAATTATGGTTCAAATCAAGAACCATCGCAGGCTCGTCAAAGCTCTACTCCCGGCAGCCTGTCTGCTATTGCGAGTTCTTTCACTTCGCCTTCAAATGGAAGGATTTCGGAAGGGGACACTCGCAACACTACTGGTACATCGTCAAGACGTTTTACATTGGGATCACTGGGTGCAAGGTATATTATTTCTGTTGCTGCACCTTTATTTCAGACTCTTTTTGCTTTATTTTCTGATTTTATAATACACATGTTATGTTTCATAAGACGATCATCATATGATAGAACACCCAAGCCATCTTATACCTGTAAGAAAGAACAACCAAGTGACTCTAATTGTCAAATATTGCTTCTTTTGATTTGCATTTATTCTAAGAACCCAATAAAAAATGATAAATGAACAAATAATAGAAGATTGAATAATCACTGGTCTCTTCAAAAAATGTAATGTGGTTCAATGGAGTGTGAAACATCGGTATTGTGTATATTATATCTTTGATGCATTTGGGCTGCTAGTTACAAGGTGAAGAAGATTGGAAGTTGGTCTTTGTAAATTAACAGATGACATTTGCTATAGTTAAAGTGAACAAATATCTCTCCATGCAAAGAGTAGTTCTTATCAAATTTAGAGGCAGAAATTACTGGAACGAAAAAGAACAACATAAGCAGAACCGATTGTCAAGTAACAAGATCTATGAGTTAATCATGACTCCTGAAGGGTCTTGGATATCAGAACTAGATATTGTAGTTCTCTTGAAGCCAGTGAAATTCAGAAAGCTAAAATCAGTGTTTATAGAATTTGGACTTTTTTAGGCAAGCCTTTTAGTCAATCATCACCTTCTCATACATAAAATATGGTTACGTCTTCAAGATGGTGAGTTAAATGTGATCATTTCAAGTCACTTAGGCTCTAATATTGTTAATTATGAAGAAGATGTGATAATTAATTCTGTTCTATTAAATTTGATGATATCAGGTCATCTAGGCTCCAATATCATACAACAATAACCACCTTGAACTTTGCAAAATCTTTGATCTGTGTATATTAATGTTGTTAATTTATGGATTCTTTTCATACATAAATATGGTTTAGTTTTGAAGCTGACCTGTTAAATGTGATCATTTCACTTCACTTAGGCTCCAGTGTCGTCAGAGGTGAATAAATATAGAGGATTTTTTGTTCTGTTTAATTTGATGATATCAAGTCACTTTGGCTCCAGTGTCATACACTGGCATTAACCACCTTGACCATAGGAAAGTCTTTGATTGTGCATGCTAATGTGTTGTTAATCTCTGTTAGATTTTTTTCTTCACAACTTTCCTGCATAGAGGCGTCCTGCTAGAAAACAGATATTGCTTAAAAGCATTTTCTTTGTGACATGATTTCCCCTTCAAGGTTACTTGTTTCTAGTTTCTTTCATTTCATATTCAGTAGCTATGTTCAACTTTAAACTGTAGAGATACTGAGCTTAAAGACCCTAGCTTTTCTTATTTTATCAGCCCAACTCGAAACCAGATTTACTCCTGGTTACCGACTTTGTAGTACTTCCAGAAAACAAGATTAGATCCATATTTTAAGATTTCAGCCTGAAATCCTGTATATAGATGCAAGGAAAATGAAACTTATATGTGTGTGTATGCATGCTTGGGTGTATACACACACACACACATATATATATATATATATATGCGTGTGTGTTAGTTATTTGATATGAATGTTTTGTCATGTGAAGAGTTAGAGGATATAGACGTTAATATTGTTGCATGTGCACAAGTGCCATGGAAATTGCTACATTTCCTTTCTAAGAAAAATTCGAGTTCAAATCAACCATTTTTGCCATTTTCAATTTCATTTACAAATAAGTCGGACGATAGTCAAACATGTTATTTAAATCATGTGTTAAGCCAAACATGCGATATTTTCTAATGATTTCTAACACGACAACGCAATAATAGATTGAAACTTTGCCAAAACGGGATATGTTGCATTCATTTTGGGACATCCATAAAGGAAATTATTGAATTCACTTTGGGATGGAGGGAGTATGATTTGTTTCAAAAAGGATATTGATCATGCAAGTAGAAAAATATGTTGATCAATAAATTTTAACCATAAAAATATGCTATATTTGAGAAATGTACATACCTGATTGAAGAAAAAACCTGTTTTTTGTTTTGCAGAATCAAGGTACTTGCTGAATACTTCAAGATGGGATTGGATTGCTTCTTTGCAGTCTGGTTCGTGGTCGGAAATGTGTGGATCTTTGGAGGTCACTCTTCTTCTTCTGATGCTCCCAACTTGTACAGGTCCAATCAATACCTTCCCTCTCATCCTTTTTTCTCCCTCCTTCCCAAAATAAATGTCTACAATAAAAAAGGCACAGAGTTTAAAAATATGCACTTCCACACTTTTTAGTTCACGAAATGACAATTTTACCCGTAATAATAGATGGAATAATGAATTTCTCCATCTCATTATTATGGTTACAATCGGAAAGTAGGCACTTACTCTTGAAAGTACACACTTATTTTGGAACAAACTAAAATAGAGATGTGGACACTTATTTTGGAACAGAGAGAGAGAGAGTATCTTGTTCCTATCGATACGATAACTTTGGTTGATATAACAGGTTATGTATAGTGTTTCTTACCTTTAGTTGCATCGGATATGCAATGCCATTCATCTTGTGCACCACAATCTGCTGCTGCCTCCCTTGTATAATTTCGGTCCTGGGCTTCAGAGAGGATCTTGCACAAAATAGAGGAGCCACTACAGAATCAATTAATTCTCTTCCTACCTACAAGTTCAAGAAAAATAAGCACACAAATGATAAAGAAACCAACCTGGGTACTTGTGAAGGTGGGGTGGTGGCTGCCGGAACTGAAAAGGAGCGTGTCATATCAGGAGAAGATGCGGTTAGTCCATACTTTCATACAGCCTGCTCCTTACGTGTTTCTATTTTTGGAATTATAAGTCTCTACATAAACCACTAAATCATGGAGTCATTGACCTCTGGACCAGTTTACTTTTCTATTCATCACAAGCACACATTCTTGTGAAAATGCCAAAAAAAGCATAAGCGACTTTTAGATGAATTGTGTGAAAGTGTAAATGCACAAAAGAATCTTCGCACTTCTGTTGTCCAAAATGGCTTATTCTTGCGAAGTTTGGTGTTTCTTTTTTGGCCTTTCACACTATGGAAGTGCTTCTTGAATTCTAAGATATTAGCTGGAGGCCTAGGGAGTATATTAGGAAACACATAATTGCTATGCGAAGTAATTGGTTTAGGAAGTACCGTTAATGTTTCATAAGAGTGATCGACTTTTTGAATCATATTTTTTGTCCAAACAAACCATCATCTTACAAGAACACAAAAAAAAGCCACACTTTCTAAGAAAGATATTTTAGAACAAAAAGTGGCAAGTAATCTGGTTAAAAGATCAATCACTGGATAAATTTACCTTATATTTGTGCTAAAAGTTACCTCCCCTTCAAGATTGTGTCATCGTTGTCATTGAATCCCCTCAGGGCGTAGCAAAGGTGGTTCCTCCGGGATGGCATACTTGCACAAATAGGCGAGGTTTCGAGTCAGCCTCATTGTGGAAGATACAATTCCTTCAGGAATTGGGCTCATTTTGGCTTTTAGTGGGCCGCTATGTATCTGATTTGCCAATCACATGATGCTCTTGGGACGGGCCAGTGTGGGTCCGCCCTTTTGCACAATCATTGTCATTGAACTCTGTTTATGTACTCAACAGGTCTGCTGCATATGCTTGGCTAAGTACGCAAACGATGATGAACTCAGGGAATTGCCTTGTTCTCACTTCTTTCACACAGATTGCGTGGACAAGTGGCTGAAGATCAATGCTTCATGCCCACTTTGCAAGACCGAAGTTGGTGAGACCATTTTAAGTTCACTAACCGAAGCAACTGCCAGCCTGCGACGAAGCGCTGTGTATTAGCTTCCGCAAAAACCTTTCTAAAATGTCTTGGGTATGTTAATATCGAAAACAGGCTATCTTGAAGAGTGTTATTTGATAAGTGAATAGATGCCCCAAAAGTCTATTATATCCTTATTGGTATTGTTTGCTTTTGGGCTATCATGAGCTTATTTTGGTAGAAAGTAGACATCATGTGGTTTTAAGTGATTAGCATTTCGAACCATTTGTGTTTGATGCTATGGTTCGGGCTAGGACTAGCCCGACTAAGTTGGGTCTGCAAAAAGTCTGGTCAAGACTTGTACGCCCTGGTGGTCCAAAGAATTGGACGAACCACATGGTTAGGTTAGGATGGTCACCGGTCGAAACTTGAAACTGATGAGTTATAATAAAATATGTGATCACGTTGTAAATGATCTACCATGTATGTATACATCCTACTTCTGGCCTGACCTCCAATGAGATATGTTAAGAGGGGAAATTTTGTTAGAACAGATTTTTCAAAATTTCTCTAATATGAAAAATCAAAATTCAGAATCTCCAAAAAGTGAGATTTTTACGTTCTATTTTAGCATATAATATGACCGATAAGGCAAGTGAAGATGGTAACTTTTATCAGTAGACATTTATCCAATAAGCATTTGGTAAATGGGCATTTAGTGTCGTAACGGTTCTTTGAGGTCTAGTTTAATATAAACTATTACCAAAAATATTGGGCTAAGTATTCATTACCGAACAAAAAAAAAGATAGGTTTATCTGAATACTTTGTAAAATAAATTTATGTATCATATCAGTACTAGTTGTATACCCGCGTAATGCGGCGAGAGCCATGAATTTTAACGATTTTGAAGTTCCACTGGTTTTATAAGATAAGATTTAACGATGATATATGTTACACTTGGTCTTTACATTTTAATACAATTTGAATAAATAAGAGTTATGGTTCCAATTACAGACTATCGATGAAAAAAATTGTATGACAGTTTAAAATCCAACATATTTAAACGACWACACAAATGTGTTCGATTTACACCAAGAACAAAGAACCAAGAAACTTGAGTTTTAAGATAAACACTCAAAACCAATAAAGAAAACTACAAACTTGACAGATCATAAGCCATGAAAAGACCAAAAAAATGGGTTTTAGAATGAAATTTCAACTACTTACCCTCTTTCTTGTCCAGAAACTCAGATTAAGCTTGAATTAATACATGTATATATATATTTCAAAAAAACCCAAGAACATATTAATTCAGAACATACTATACAGTGCAATTTGGACAGCCTAACCCCAAAATATATAGTATATATATAAATAAATAACTATAAAA